GAAGAAGAAGAAGAAGAAGAAGAAGAAGAAGAAGAAGAAGAAGAAGAAGAAGAAACAACACATTTCAGTGGTCCCCATAGTCACTGGAGCTTTGGGAACAATATCAAGAAATGTCACACAGTACTATAAACAGTTGCAGTTCTCAGAAATCACACCATCAGAGCTACAAAAAAAAAACAGTACTATTAGGAACAGCATACATTTTTTGTTGTTTAGTCGTTGTTTCTGACTCTTCGTGACCTCATGAACCAGAGCACGCCATGCCCTCCTGTCTTCCACTGCCTTACGGAGGTGGGTCAAATTCATGTTGGTCGCTTTGGTGACACTGTCCAACCATCTGCCTCCCAGAGTTTGGTCAGATTCATATTGGTAGCTTTGATGACACTGTCCAACCGTCTCGTCCTCTGTCGTCCCCTTCTCCTCCTGCCTTCATACTTTCCCAACATCGGGGTCTTTTCCAGGGAGTCTTCTCTTCTTATGAAAGGCACCACTATTTAACAGATACAGTACTTAGGTTTTTGGCTAAAACTTGTATCTGTTATACAACACCAGTCAATGTTTTTATAATTTTGACTGTGCTTGGTGTTTTTGAACCACCACCACCACCACCACAACAGGGAACTAGTATATAAGGTAGAAGACTAGACCCTCACCTTTCACTGTTGCATCTATATAGATAATTGCTTACTGAATGTTTTTTATCATTGTAATTATGTTATGTTGACATTTTAACTGTTTTTTTACTATTGCAATGTGCACTGTTTCAACATTAGGTCTAATCCCAACTGGAGTTTTATTCCAGTCAAAATGAAGGCAGAAATATGAGAACTCCCATACTTAAAAGATGAGAAAAACAAGTTCATGGCCTGTAAAAATTACGTTGACAGAACATATCTATATATTTTACCTTCCATTAATTGCTCCTGTTTTGTTAGTTGTATGTACAGAAGAGTTCTGTGTTTTCTCCTTTCCATTCCTCAGTCATTTATGGCAATGTCACTTTGGCCTTCTTAACAATTTCAAAAGTGTATGTCCAGGCAGAAGAACAAAGAAACTTAATTCTTGAGATGGCGTGGGGAAGGAAAGCAAAAAGGCTAACTTTGTCACCTAATTAATACCTTACAGTCCTTTTTTCTCTCCATGAATATACACTATAATTTCTATATGAACATAGATTTTCCCTCCAAGAAGGTACCCTGGCCCCAATAACAGCCATGAGACTCTGGGACTTTAATAAAAACATAAAATTTATGGGAACTGCCCACAAGAACATGATGCACAGCCTTAAGAAGATGAACTATAATTGAAAGCTAGCTGTTGTTTTTTAAGTGGTCTAATAAAGGTATCACCAGTTCCTGCATTTGTATTGTTTTAGAAACCACACAGCCGTTTCCTGATTCCTCCCCACGCACACACACATTTGACCTCTCTTTCTACTTTTCTAGTGATCTACTACCATTCGCTGGCTATCGAGATGTTCTTAATTGGCATATTTGCTCGTTATTCTTTCCGAAGAGCTGAACCACAACCAGATGCCCAGCGGGTCACACGCCATCAAGGCTCTCAAACCGAGGGGGCCCTCTCGAGGAAGAGAAATCCTACAGATGATACCTCCACGGAAGGAACAAACCCTACCTATCTCTCTGATGAAACCATCTGTACAATTGAGCATTCCCCGCTGGACAGGTTAGATTTCATGGTGGGTGAACTTGTGAACACGCAACCGGAAAGAGGGGGACTGAGCAGCCCGTGCACAGGGGCTCTGGCAGCAGAGGGACTTACAACAACCTTGCCACTTCAAAAATCTGGGGTTAAATTGCCTTCCACTAGAATCCAAATCCAAGCCCAGGTGAGCAATGCGGATACCGATGGAGTCACTGTTGTATAAAATGTATGCTACAGATTTCAGTTCTTCCTTTGGGACCAGCCCAGCGGTGACTAAGGACACAAAACAAGCTCTGCTGATGTGACGAGCCCACCACTGGCAGACTTGTTGCTTGGGGAGGGAAGGGAGGGACGCCGTGAGGTACCCCCTTTATAGCAACATTTTCAGCCCCTCTCTTGCCAATGTTGAGTGCTCAAATTCAGAGTATAATTAGCAAATAGTTCCAGAATAGTAATCAAACAAAAAAAAAAGCAAGAAGAGTTTACAGTTAGAACAGCAGGATGAACATTTATAAAATATAATTTCTACTGTATTTTTCATCACACAGAATACAATATAATTACCCCTTTCATTTGTTCTTGCAAACATCTTGTAAGGTGAGTCAGGCCAAGAGACTACCATGTAACCAGAAGCTGCCCCCTTGACTGGTGAATAGAAATTTGAATCTGCCCCCCTTGCCCCCCATTCTTGAGACATTCACCACCCATATCAGGATCTGACTGGGATTGTTCTCTAGAGGCTTGCTGTTCAGAGTGCATCTGCTTCCTAAGCCTGAGGATGCAGAGGAGTGCAGTGGGTAGACAGCAGCAGAGATAGTCTTGCTTTTACAGCTACCTGTTTATGCTACATGAATCCAAGAGGGCTCCAAGCTTTTTAGAAGTGAACAAGACTCTATTAAAAACAATGCTGTTTGGATTACTCAGGGACCACGGGACTTCCTTAGCTCCACTGGAGAATCAAACAAGAAATCCTAGAAGCTAATGAAGAAGGATGATTACATGAAAAGCCTTTCAAACTAGCAGAGGCCAGGAGACACAAACGCATGCCTTCCCTCTGCCTCTCTGGCTCTGTATCATGTTGACAGTTCCTCCAGGGCATTTATGACCTCGGCCTCTAAGCCCACCGCACCCTCCTCTTGCTGCTGCAGAGGCTCCTGTAGCTGAGGCTGGAGCGACGGTTCCTTTGTGAGAAGATTGTGTTTCTTTAGAAAACAGGCTTCTTCATAGGGAGGGTGGATGGGGGGCTGAGTGGGAGGCAGGTAAGTATACTCCTTCTCTGGATCCAGCTGCCGAAAACGAAAAGAAAGCGAAAAAACTAAGTCAGATGAGATGAGACAGCTACTCTTGTCCCCTGGGTTATCACCACATGCCACAGCGTGCGGGAACCTTTCTGCCAACTCCATGTTCAGGGCTGGCCTCACTGTTCTCCCCTGCACTCTAAGTTGCCTTGCTGACCATTGCTAAATATAAGGCAGCGAGGGTCTTGGACGTTATTCTTTGCACCAGCCATCAGAGCTTGCTGGAGAAAGGAGTTGCTCACAGCACCACCATAGATAGCCAGAGTGTGATCACCACAGCTACCACTTCATTAAAGCTCAGGTGACAGAAAGGGGCACACGGGACTCTGGTGCTAACTTTAGCCCGACTTCTCAGTTAAAGCAAAGGCATCCTGCCCCAGTATTTTGTTTCTTCTTACCTGCAGAGGATAGGTCCTGTCAGAATCATAAGCACTCAGATCTCCACAAGCCAGGAAAGGAACAATCACCCGGTTGGGACCTTCTAACTGATTGAAATCCACATCTGTATAGTAACAGGGAAAATTCTGATGAGTCTCAGGTGCAAGACCACCTCTAGTTATGAACACAGTTTGCCTGCCTCTCCCAAAGCATCAATTAGTTGCCGTCGTTATATGAATCAAAGAGCTCTTGCTTCTAATGGTGCCTGTAGAATTTCTACCCAAGGGCAGGCTAAGAAAAGACAAGCAGTAAAGGATGACATGTCAGAGCCCCAAACGTGTCTAATCCAACCAGCTGCAGACTATTTAAAAAAAAATCTACTGATATAGGAATTCTAATAGGCATCTATTCAGCTTCTGGATGGAGTCACCACCTTCTAAGGAAGAATGCTCCCTTACTAATCACTTGCAGAGCCCCATCACCCACAATCCTGCTGCAGCTGCCTCCCCACTCCCCAAATCATCTTTCCTCTTAGCTTCCTTGCTGTCCCACAACCCACCCCCTTGAGCAGCCTTGCTCAACACCCCCTCCCCAGCACAATAACATGCTTAAGAGGCACCCCTTCTCTTTCCAGATTCCTCACCATAGCAGTGATCCAGCAGGGGATTGGACATGTTTGGCACATAGCCTTCAGGAGGGCTGTAGTTTCGGCAAACCACAAAGGCTTCTAGAAAAGTAGAAAGGGGGTTAAAGCTTTAGGAGCCACTGTTCTGGCTTTGCAATATACATCTAGAGTTCCCTGCAATGCCTCAAACGCACGTAATATGTGATGCCCAGTTTGCATCACATTGGCATTGTTTTGTAACCATCTACAAAGATTGAAGCCAAACTCCCAAGCTTCATACACTACCCAAATTCAGAAACTCTCCAAAGGGAGCTTGGCTTTCTTCTAAACGGTTTCCACTTCTAAACGCCTTCCACTGAACTCCGTGCAATAGAGACAACAGGCATCTGGGATGCTGTGGGGGAATGTGGCTTGTGCAGTACCGCACGTGAGGCTCAGCAAACCCATTCAGCCCATGCTCCAGGGGTGTCCCTTGAGGGAATGGCCACAGGTAACTGAGTGGCTGGTGTTCACATCAAGAGGGAAAAAAAGGAAGCAATTGCTCTTGGGGACAATTCTGCAATCAAACCAAAACTGGCACAAAAATCAACATACCACCCTGAACACACTGGATTTCCTCTGATCTGGGAACCTAAGCAACACGAGACTTGGTTAGTACTTGGATGGGAGACCACCATGGAATGCCAGGGATCTAGAAGGAGGGCTAGGAAAGAATCCTGCCTGAAACAGAGCTGGTGCCAGTCAGAGCTGGCAGTCTTGGGTTAGATAACCCATTGGTCTGATTCAGCAGTAGGCAGCTTCCTCAGGACTTGCTCCGACACTGTGTTGCCTTAGCCAACTTCAAGAGTCCAGTGAGGATCTGCTGCATCTGCACACACAAATATACACACCTCCCATTGACCAAATCAGAATACCCAGAGCTTTCCTTTGCACATGGGCCATCCTTCACCTGTCCTAATAACCATCATAGTCTAGACCAGGGTTTCCCAACCTTGAGTAACCCAAGTGTTCTTGGATTGCAATTCCCAGAAACCTTCACTAGCAGTGGTGCTGGCCAGAGGTTCTGGGTGTTTTAGCTCAAGGATGCCTGGGTTACCCAAGCTTGGGAACCACTGGTCTAGACCAAAGCAAACAATATACAAATTTATACTATATTCTTTCAATTCTATTCAGTCTTATTGCCCATTAATATTTTTCAGAATATCTTATAGCACTTCAGAAGGAACCAAGCAGGGTATTCAAATGGGGAAGGGATATTAAATGAAGAATCATACTGACATATTAAGACAGCTGACCAAAAAGGGTTATGGAGATTCAATGTCACATACAGCTGCTGCAACACTTATTTTCAAAATGTGTTCCGAAGTAGAGAAGACATTCAGGATCTTCTCTAAGAAAACTCAATTGAAGAGCACAATCCAACAAGGTTGATTTGGAAAGGAAAGCGTAAAGCTTCTTTATAGGTACAGGCCTTGCCAAGCAATCTTACGGGATGATATTTTGCCTCATCAATCAAATGCCAGTGCATGTTTGCTTCTTCTGCATTCACATGATCAACTGTCACGTTTTACCCAGAACTCACTGGAATCCTTTTTTCTGAGAGCTTTTTGTTTTATTTTACATGTAGAAGGCAATGCAGGATGAGAGAGACAGCAAACAAATAAGCAACAAGGGGAACTATTTAGAAGAAAGCAATGAGGCAGCATACAAACAAAGGGCACAAAATTACCACCCTTGGAACACTTGAGCTTTTCCAAAACCACTTGCTTCCAAACATCGAGCTGCACTTTACAAGCATGAGAAACTAGGGAATGTTTGTTTGCTTTGAGGTGGAAGCTGAGATTCTAGTGATGCTAGATTCTGCCCCCTTTTGTGCACGACTCTCTGGGAACAACGTTGCAAATTGCTATATCTGCAAAAAGGTGTTTGCTCACCAATGCTCGAGTTACGGCTGCTTCGGGGCTTTGCGCATGTCACTTCAGGGAAGAAAATCCGCAACTGGGAATAAAGAAGCGTGACATCCTTCCCTCGGAATATCTGAGATGGGAGAATAAGCTGTCGTTATCTGGCTGTGTCATGGTATCATTATCTACCTAAGCAAAAACAGGGATGTCTTACACCAACAAGCGATAGCATGAGGCAAACTCACTGGGAACAATGAATTCGCCATCAAATGCTCTCAGGGAAAATAAGCACACAATGAAAATTAACATTTAGTCCTGCAATCAAGCTCTGTGGCTTCCCCACTGGGCCTTCCACTCTCAGGTTTCGTCAAGCACCAACCCCATGAATCACAGAAAATGCATCTGGAGGCTTTTTTTGATGCCATAAGAATCTGCAAGCAATGGGGGCATCACTGGACCCATCCACTCTTGCCCAATCAGCTACCACGCTCACCTTTGCCACAAAAGTTCCTCCTTTTTTCAGTACATGAGTAGTAATGTTTAGGGCCTAGAGGAAACAGAATAAAGAAATCATAGGTAAATCCCATTAGGCACTGAGACACATCAAAGATCTCTGCAGTGTGGGAAGCAAAGATTGTGGGCCCCCAACACCACATGACGACTTCGATAATAAAATAGATAACAAGAAAAGAATTATCATCCCTTATTTTTTCTCTCTCCACAAACAAAACCGGGCAGAAAGGAGCTATCCAGCATTTCTTATACTTCCAGACTATGAATCTTGGAGCCGGAGTTTGAAACACCTAGAGAGTTAAAGGTTCTCATACTGCGGCTTTATTTAGACATACTAATGGATCAACGGGATATAATACAGGATTTTCCCCATTCTGATTGTACAACAAACAAACAAAAGAGACACATAGGCTTGTTCCATGAAACCAGCTCCTGAGCACTTGGCCTTCTGACTTTAGCAGTCCTCTAGTTTAAATCCCCAAGGTGTTCCATGTCTAGAGACAAAATCTGGAGCAGAAACTGTCTAACCTAGAGCTCCCAGATCTAATGTGGTAGAGGTGGAAGAAGTTTCCAGGTATGCAAGTACCCAATAAAAACTGGCCATTACCTGGACACGGCCCTTGCAGGGGGACAGGAAATACTCACAGCAAGTAACAGCTGAGCCTGAATGTACTCATCAATATCATGGAGTCCAGTCACTGGAAGAATACAGAAGGCATTTATTGTATATACACAATGTCAGATCGTCTTTCTCTTGGAAAGGTTTGTGTTAGAAATTAGAGCATGGTCATCACACATACCATCAGGGGCTCCATCACAAACTACCAGATCAGCAGGCTGCCCCTCAAAATGGTGAATGATCTCCTGGGCTGTAGAGACCTGGAAAGAAAAAAAGAGAGGGGTTTGCTGGCTGCAGGCAGAAAGGCCGCTCCTTGAGTAGCCTCTCAGCTTGAGTGGAGGCTAAGTGAACTTCACCTTAGGCCCCACTGGGCAACATCTACCTTCGTAATGTCTCCCTGGATCTGGATGACTCCCGGCAGTGGGGCCATAGCTTGCAAATCAACAGCCACTATTTTGATATCGGAATTTTTACCACTGTCTCCTCTGTGGGGAGAAGGAAAGAATAGAAAGGTTTCTACATGAGTTTCTCTTTTTCCTTTAAGGAGCTGCAACTCTCAATGAGCTGCAACCTCTCCCAAATCAATGCTGTTTGCTTACTTGAGCTTTCGGCTCAAGACCTGACTCCAGCTTCCAGGAGCAGCACAGAGGTCCACAGCCCGTGACACACCTGGAGAGGACCAGAGAAGAGAAAAGGTCAGGCAGTGCCATTGAAGAGGAACCGAAAAGAGAATGGGGAGGCAGAACGGCTAGGTTGCCTTCCTGGTGGAGGGCTAGTGGTCCTGTAAAAACAGAAAGCTCCAGCTTTGTTGAAAGCCACATGGAGAACCTCGCTTCTGCATACCAAATATCTGAACTGCCCTGGTCGTACATACACACTAGAAACCCTGCACAGGTTTGGAAGCAACACCTTTTCTGATTAGCCTCCCACTTCAGCGACAAAATTCCAGCTAACAATTGATATGGGAGATGCGAGTTCCAAGGCATGAAAAAGAAGGAACCAGCTTGCAAGTTACAAACTGCATTCCCTCCTGCAATGATCATTCCACAAAACAGTATCAACAGCAGGCAGAACAATGTGCTATTATAATAATCGTGTGCTGTCAAGTCAATTCTGACTTATGGTGTCCTTTTTGGGGGGGGTTCTAGGCAGAAAATACTCAGAAGTGGTTATGGGGGTTTCTAGGCAGAAAATACTCAGAAGTGGTTAACCATTCCTTTGTGGCACACAGTGGTTAAACTGCAGTATTGCAGCCAAACCTGTGCTCACGACTCAGGGTTCAATCCACCTTCCATCCTTCCAAAGTCAGTAAAATGAGTACCTAGTTCACGGCAGTGGCATGTGTAGTCTAAATAATTAAATTGCAAACTGCCCAGAGAGTGTGTTAAGTGTCATGGGGCACTATATAAACAGCACCCTGTGCATTTGCTTTGCTTCTTCTGGGGTCACTTTGAGGCTGTGCAGCTTGCCTGAAACCACATAGGCTAGGTCTTCTCTTCAGAGGCACAGTGAGAAATCGAACTCCCAACCTCTGGCTCCACAGACAGACACATAACTCACTGAGCTATCCAATCAATTATTAGGTGGAAGATATTAAAGCAAATACTTAGACCTCTGCAGGGCAACTTGTGATCTTCCAGATGTTGTTGGTCTGCAATTTCCACCATCTCTGACTGTCACCTATGCTAGTTAAGGTTGATGACAGTTGCACTTGAAGAGCATATAGACAGGAACATGTTCTCCACTCCTGCCTTATACATTTCAACTCACAGATTACAGGGTTGAGGGACTGAGGAAATTTTAAGCCTCAATACTTCTTCAAACCCTCTTAATAAGACAACAAAAGTATATTTGCTTCTGAGCATTCCACAATGAAATTTGGAAGTGTGTATTATCAACCCACCTTGGAACAAGTGATATTCCTCATCCAGCTGTAGAAGTTTAAATGCACTACGGGCTCGCCAACCCTCTTCTTTTGCTAAACGGTAGTAAATATCTCGCTTATCCTTGGAGGAACGTCCCATTTTAGCTTACATGAGAAGTCCTAAACATGAGAGAAGGATTTATTAATTACTTGCTTGTCCCGTGCCAAAACCAGCAGGAACCTGCAGAAATATTAGCTTCTTACAACCAAAGACTTCGAAGCTTATACATCAGTCACAGAAAGGAGTGATCATCCATTGCTGATGTCAACATACCTCCCTTATGGAATGCTTTGGGATGCCCCTCAAAGCTTAAAAAAAGTTCTTAGAAACAAGAAATTACTTGATACAGTAATGGAGAAACTTAAAATTGAGAATTCTGGGAGATGAAGACCAAAAATTAACATTCCAAATTTAGGGGGCAACAACTGGAAAATCCCTCACAGATATTAGGATGGGACGCAGAATGCAGATGCCCCGGGATTATTGCTGCAGTACCATGATAAATAGGATGATGAGTTTTAGTCTGCAGAGACAATGGCAACCATATTAAATTTACCTTGACACACACTTTCCTTCCCTTCTGGAAAATAAGAGTTCTGTTGAATCAGACCAAAGTCCTGTTTACCACACATGGCAGCCAAGCATATTCCATATTCTCCTCATGTTTCCAGGATGTGGAACATGCGGCTTCCCAGATGCAATTCAGATTGCAATTTCTATTGCTCCTCAGCACTGGTTATGCTCTTGAGGACTGAAGCCCAACAACATCTGGAAAGCTAAGTGCTCCCTATTCCTGCCACATTCCAAAGCTGGATGCTAAAACTGTGAAGAGACTCAAGTTTTGAAATATAGTTCAATGCAGATTTCTTTGGTTTATTTTATCCTGTGAGTTCCCATGTTTTCTGAGACTCAGTTCCCACAAATAGCAGATAAAGAAGTACTGTAACCCTGTTTCTTAACTGTATGTTGTTGTTTTTAAATAATGCAAGTGATGGCTCAGAACAAAATGCTCCTCTATTCCTTTTTTTAAAGTATCTTACCAGAAAAGCACATCATATCAGAGAGAAGGACTCTGACGTTGTTTTCTCTTTAACACTATATATTTCTACATACAGGGTTTTGTTTGCAGACACCAGTTTGTTCCACTACAAAACCCCTCACATAGGGTAACCAGATGAAAAAGAGGACACAGTTCCTACATCTTTAATAGTTGATCAGAAGAGGAAATTACAGCAGGTGCCATATTTAATGCAAGTAACACTTGCTGAAATTAATTTCTACAGATAAGTATTAGAAGTACAGAAACCCTGTCACCTTTTCATCATCTGAGCATTGCTAGATGATGCTGTCTAGGTTTGTCATCGCTTTCCTCCCAAGAAGCAGGTGTCTTTCAATTTCATTGCTGCTGTCATCATCTGCAGTGACCATTGAGCCCAAGAAAGTAAAATCTGTCACTGTCTTCATATCTTCACCTTTCTTGGAGGTGATGGGACCAGTGGCCATGATCTTAGTATTTTTGATGTTGAGCTTCAGACTGTTTTTTGCGCTCTCCTCTCTCACCCTCATTAAGAGGTTCTTTAATTCCTCCTCACTTTCTGCCATCAGAGTGGTATCATCTGCATATTGGAGGCTGTTGATATTTCTTCCAGCAATCTTAATTCATGCTTGGGATTTATCCAATCCAGCCTTTCGCATGATGTATTCTGCATATAAGTTAAATAAGGAGGGAAACAACATACAGCCTTGTTGTACTCCTGCCTAGTTGCTATAAAACTCTTTATCAGACTAGGTGGTGTATGTACACACACACACGCACAAAAGCTAGCAGCAAAGATGTGTTTATATACAGGCTTTGATATACTGTGTGTCTGAAGAAGTGGATTTTGACCACAATGAAATAAATCTTTAAAGTGCCACAATATTTTGCCTTCCCTCTCCCGCTTCTCTTTTCCCCATTTAATTCTGCCAGCTTTCTAACAAGATCCCACCGAATTACTCTTTTGCTCCTATCCTGCAGCACAGTGGTTCCCAACCTTGGGTAGCCCAGGTGTTTTTGGACTACAGCTCCCAGAAGCCTTCGCCACCAGCGGTGCTCGCCGTTGCCGTCCAAGAACACGGGGGTTACCCAAGATTGGGAACCACTGCTGTAGCGAATGCACAGGCTATAACCTAAGCACGATCATCTACGTATCTCTCTTTCCCTTCGACAGACACCTCAACAAGCATCCCTCCCTGGTAACTCGAGCGATTTTTAGGATTTTATCCAGTTGACGAGTTTAAGGGAAGGGAGCATGGAGATAACAGAATAAAACGAACAAACCCTATCAGGAAGCTCGAACCGACGGTCTCCTCTCCGCAAAGGAAGATCAAAACAAATAAATGTGGCACATGCGCAGCTTAGACACAAGATCTTTACACGGCATGCTCCCGGGGAGTTGTACTATTTTTGCAGCTTCCGCGGCAGAAGTTGGAGCCTAACTCTGTCGCATTGCACTCTGGGAATGGTAGTCGTTTTACGGGACCAGCGTCGAACACGCGAAGAGAATCTCGGCGCCTGAAGCACTTCGTTCCCCATGATGCTCCGGAATGACGTAGCCGGAAGCGCGGGTGGGACACGGAAGTGAAGGAAAATGGCGGAGGATACTGGAAAGGCGGCGGCAGCCTCGGTTGCTCCGGTGTCGTTTGGTTTCACCCGAACAACCGGGCGGAGGCGGTTTCTTTTCGTGACCGGGCAGGATGGCGCCGAACCGAAACAGGAACCCGATTTCCTGACTGCCGTGGAGGGCCGGGAGTTGCAAAGGTACGGGGGGGGGGAGGGAAGCCTTTGCGTGCGCATGCGTAGTGTGGAGGCGGCTTCATTGCTCTCCCGGCGGCTGGCTGGTGCCTGCGAGGAGGAGGCGGGTCTCCGGCGAGGAGGCTGTTTCGGGGCCAGGGGTTGGGATGGGCTTCTCTTGGGCAGCATCGGACGCCCCTGCTGTGGGGCTGGACGCATTTCCTTGTGATTGGCCATCCAACAAATCCTTGCACGTAGAAAGCAAGCATATGTGAAAGGGGTGGAGTTCCACCTTTGCTCTTTCCTGGGTCGACTGTTGATGTTTTCAGTCACGGGAGCTCTGGATTGGGAGTCTTGCATGGCAGACATGGATTCACGACCTCGGCTTGTCCCCAAGTGCTGCTCAAACCATCCCGTCACGATTAACTTATAGTATATGTTGGGGGTTTGCCGGTACAGATCCAGAGAAGATAACTCTGGCGGTCTTAAAACCGTAATGGTCCTTCCTGATGGACCACGAAGGAGGGCGAGGGGAGTAGTAAATGATCACGATGTAATTAAGATGCATTCATTGCATTCTGTGAGGCGTGATGTTATTTGATAAAGGTCAGTGCCTAATCTTTTTTTCATGCAATTATGTTGGGGGTTTGCCGGTAGAGATCCAGAGAAGATAACTCTGGCGGTCTTAAAACCGTAATGGTCCTTCCTGATGGACCACGAAGGAGGGCGAGGGGAGTAGTAAATGATCACGATGTAATTAAGATGCATTCATTGCATTCTGTGAGGCGTGATGTTATTTGATAAAGGTCAGTGCCTAATCTTTTTTTCATGCAATGCTATTAGTTGTTTGTCATTTAATTAAGTGTGGTGGATGCATTTCCTGTTTCTAGTTAGTGTGATGTTATGTGATAAAGGTCAGTGCCTAATCTTTTTCTTCATGCAATGCTATTTGTTCATTTAATTAAGGGTGGTGGATGCATTTCCTGTTTCTAGTTAGTCACCTGCAGAGGATTTATAGACATTACTTCTTTGTTGGGCTCTCATTAAGGCTCATGAGTAAAATATAAAGGTGTGCAGACAGATGGGAAGGAGTTGTGAAACTTGCCTCCTTCTGTTTGCCTGCTAAGGCATATGTGCATATTTGCAAAGCCATAGAATATTTAAATCTGTGAGCAATGTTGGGATGGTGGTGGTGTTGTGACCTCTGGGATGTTGTTAGACTGCAAGTATTCTGGCCTCAACATACCTTTGATTAACTAGATAATGTTTGTACACAAAAAGGTGACATAATGACAAATCTAAGATAGTGTACAATTAAACAGAGTGCCCATTTGAGTTAGAATAACAACTCACTATTGGCAACGTGGCCCAGTTCTGATAAGAATCTAGCAACGTCTGAAGTCACAGATTGTAGTCAGTATCCTGTTCCCTTAAACACAGAACAGAAAAGCAATTGTGTAAGGATCCCCTCTGCTCTGACAGGCTCCACATTGAATACCAGTTCTCATACCGGTTACAAGATTGGTTGAGTAGTTGGTCACACAACAAGGGAGGATAGTTATGCAGTTGCCCTTCTGTTCACATTTAGGCAGTAGGATATTGGCCCATACATTTTGTTTAAGACAGATTTTTTAATTCTCTTTCACCTGTCATTTCCTAAAAGGCAACAGATGTGTGATAAAGGTGAAACTTGTCAGTGTTTCATTCTTTTCCAGCAGCCACATCTTTGTATAGATAAGCAAGTCCTGCCCATGTTTTTGTTTGATGTGTGCTGTGTTTCCTCTGCAGTGTCCGGCCAGCTCCACAACCAAAAGAACTTGTCATTCCCCTGATCCAGAAAAACCAATGGAAGAAACCAGGGGCCCCAGAACCCCTCAAGGAGCAGGATGAGGTCAATGGCGTTGAAGCACAAGCTGTCCGAGAACTCATTGAAGGTGGGAATTCCTACTCGTCCTTTTTCATTTAGAGCTGCAAAATTTTCCCTCCTTGCAGCTCTTGTTTTTTCCTGTTATGACAAACTCTGATTTTCAGACTTGGAAGAGATGCAGGCAGCAACATCAGTTTCAGTCCTACAAACTCAATCTTTGGCAGCACAATTGTCAGGAAACCTGTCTGGCTGCTATTGGAATACAAAGCAGTTTGGGAGTACTGGCTCAGAAGGTACAGTACTGGCCTTTTGATAAATTTTCATTTGATTGACTGATAGCTTGCCTTTCCCCCAAACTCGCATGATGAATTAGGTAAAGGCAAAGGTTCCCCTTGACAATTTTTATCCAGTCGTGTTCGACTCTAGGGGGTGGTGCTCCTCCCCGTTTCCAAGCCGTAGAGCCAGTATTTGTCCGAAGACAATCTTCCGTGGTCACATGGCCAGTGCGACTTAGACACGGAATGCCGTTACCTTCCCACCAAGGTGGTCCCTATTGATCTACTCGCATTTGCATGCTTTCGAACCGCTAGGTTGGCAGGAGCTGGGACAGGCGACAGGAGCTCACTCCGTCGCGTGGATTCGATCTTACAGCTGAAGATCTACAGACCTTACAGCACAGAGGCTTCTGCGGTTTAACCCGCAGCACCACCATGTCCTACATGATGATTTTAAAAGGTATAAATGAAAGCACACATTATAATAATCGCAGATAAACACATTAACATTGAGTATGAATAAATTGTGCTCATTTCTCAGCAGCCAGATAGTAGCCAAAAGAATGCTTTCATAAAAAATATTTTACCTGGAGCTAAAAGAGGGAACAGGAAGGAACCAGCATGCCCTCCCTTGATGGATCTACAGTCTGAGCCCATGACTGCCCCTTGGTCCCAAAATCTGTTGATATATACCAAAAGACTCTCCAGTTTCTTCTCATTAGTATCCTCTGCACAATTCCCCATTTTTTCCTTTCTCCTTTCCTTGTTTACAGTATTTGTTGCTTCTTCCCTTCTTGCTGATGCATTTTCCCTTATGCTGTTAAGCCCTTCAGTACAAATACGCAGGGCCTTGCCCCATGGTCTTCATCTTTGCAGTCAAACCAGTTATTAACTTTTTGCTACCTGCCATAATCCGTCCTGCTCTCACTCCAGCCCTCCTTGTCTCATGTGGATTTACCCGGAGTTGAGGGTCAGTTGGATTTGATGGAGATGTGTCCTGATTCACAGTGACTGTTCAGGTGAAGCATAGAAATGCACTCCATGGTGTGTGATGGGGTGCCAACATACTGTAGGTATCAGCTGTCCCAAGGTTAATGCCATGAGTCCACAAAAGAAAAAAAAAACAAGCTAAACATTTAGCTCTCTTAACCCTGTGTTGTGATGAAGTAGCAGTCCTGGCTGATATTGTTGGACTTAATCTTTTATTATCCCTATGGGCTATGCTAGCCAGGGTCGATAGGAGTTGACAAGTTGCCCACCCCTTCCCCATTTATAATAGAGCACCTTAGCTTTTAAAGGTAATCAGCAAATGTCCAAATCATATGTGATTTTTGCAAGCTATACCACTTCCTGTTATTTATCTCCAGATATTGGCCTGGTCACGGAAACAAAAATTTGTCACTCTAAGCTTCTCCAGACTGCACTATGTGGCAGTTGCTTATGCTTTGGCTGGTTTGTCTCCTTCGTTTTCAGAATCCAAGAAGTCACAGGAGCAATGGGAGAGTGGCACCAAGGTAGACCCTGCCTTTTCCATTCCTCTCCTCATGCAGAACCGTGTCCCCGACGGCTATGAGGATGGAGAGAAGGTGGATGTCAGCCTGCGTCCAGACTCGGTAAGAGTAACAGTATGTCACCCAGGACAGTCAGTGGAACTCCAGGTCAGAAATGCTTGATTCATATCCTCCCTTCCCTTCTCTCTACTCTTTCCTTCATAGTCGACTGAGACAGATTATGAAGAGGTACCAGTGGAAGCCTATGGTCTTGCCATGCTGAAGGGCATGGGTTGGAAGGAAGGTGAAGGCATTGGGCATACCTTCAAGCAGTAAGTGTCCTGAGGTGGTGAAGGGAGTCATCTTAGAAACAGTAATTGTAGCCATGATCCTGTTAGAGCCAAACTGCTCAGACAATGAATACAGAAGTGGCTTGATGTCTTTCCTGTTGGTGCAGAGGCATCTGAAGCCTCGGCCTCGGTGCACAAGTTAATTTTCTGAATAGATACCTTTGCTTCTCTAAGGGCAATGCTTGCAGAAGTGGAAGGTCCTACCTTACTGTACCAGCACAGTTTAATATATTTAATTATAAGTCGTATGTACGCTTTTGTCCTTGGAGCAGTCTAAACAGAAGAAACAAAATCCCCTGGCTGTTGGTTCAGGGAGTCACTGCCTTGATTCCAGTAATGGACGAATCAAGAGAAAAGAGAGGAAAGTGGGTATAGAGGTGCTGGGATTCGGATAGTTATTGCACCGATCTTTGTATTTTGTATCCTATGTTTAATCATGTATCATCAAGTCAGTTCTGACTTACGATGAATCTTTTCAGGGTTTTCCAGACACAGAGTCCTTATTTTTATTAATCCTGATAATATGACAGAGCTTTGTTAATATTCCTCTTTTATAATTGGGGAACTGAAGTTGAATGCCACTTGACCAGGGGTGCTCTGTGAACTGGTGGATGACTTACTTAGAGGATCTGGATTTCAACCTCAAGCCCTGGGGATCATATTACTAGAGTAAAAAATTTTTAATCGTGAGTTAGATTCCAAGAGGATATAGGGTGCAGTATTTGGGGTGATTTGATACCCACCATGGAAGTCCCCTTTCCTTGATAACTGATAGGTGGGAACTTCAGCATTTTTGGGAAGACTATAAAGGTTACATGGAAAGTATATTTTGACAGCTGGCATTAAGGAATAGTTTAAGTGTCATAAAGACCTAACGGAGTGAGTAGTTCTCCAGATGTTTCAGGGTCGCAACTTCCAGCATCCCTCCCTACTGGCTGTGCTGATGAGCCCCGTTTCTTACCTATGTTTGGCAGGTTGGTTCTACAGCTTTAGCATCATTCATTCTGGAACAAGCAGGCTCCGTGTTTGTATTACAGCCAGGTAGTGATGGGTATTGGAGACACTGAAACCAAAACCTGGGCCTTCATCAGAGGAGAAGAGTAGACACAGTTCACACATAGTTAGAGGATAACTTTTTTCCATTTAGCTTGCAATTGGCTGGGAATACCTCGCTGTGATGATCAGGAGGTGAGGCACCTGCATTTTGTGCCCTCACAAAGGCTCCAGTCGTGTTTTCCTTGCACTGCCACCAGTGGATTACCTCAATCCACAAAATAATGACATTTGATCAGACACTTGTATGCAAACAAAACTTATTTATTAAAGAGAAGCCAATTTATTAATCACAGAAGTTCTTCAGGTGTACATACTATTCTCTTACCATATAATTACCACCTTCTCTATCTATATATCTTAACCAGTCTCTATATCTCTTCTGACTCTCTCTGACTGTAGCTAACTCTCTCTCACCAACTCACTCTGACTGACTCTCCTCTCAGGCTCTGCCTTTTAACCTCTTGGCTCCGCCTCTCAACCACATTAGCATAGACATGAATAATACATGACTTATACCTAACAAAGGGTGAATGCTACAGACCTTCCCCCCTTAAATATGTTTGTTTGGGAGAGAAAACACGTTTTTCATCCTAAACAAACACATATAATTGCATAATAGCTACTTACCCCCTGGCACAATTTTGCAAACAATACAACATCATATATATGTGTAACAATATTTTCTCACTTTACACATTCCAATACAATAATATACTTTACTTTTTGGTGGACACTTACTACATTTAATTTTACAATCCTAAAGAAACACAACGTTTTCATGAAAATTTTACATAGATAATTAAACAGTTAATCAATAGTCCATTACAGTTTATTTTAGAAGTCCTTGCATCCTTCTCCACGTCTCAGTCCATCAATATTCAATCTTTCATCACTAATCACAACCAGAACATTTGTTATCCATTACCAATTTTGTTTATCTCCCATCAGTCATTTGGTTTTCGAAGCAAAGTACCAGCATCCACGCTCTGTGTCCCTCTGACGCCATGGATTACAAAGTCCAAGTCTTGCATGATCCCACTTTCATCAGCTTGGCACTGCACCTCTCCAAATCCAATGTTCGATGCATTGGTGAAGATGATGAACTCCTGTTGTAGTCAGGTGCGCTGGGAACTGGGCCGGTCGTTAACACCTCATTCAGCTGGTCATACGACTGCTGGCACTCAGGGGTCCATCTGATGATCTCTGGCTCCTCCTTCTGTGTTCTTTTTGGTCGACTAGCAGTCATCAGGCCCTCTGTGTTCTTTTCTGTCGACTAGCAGTCATCAGGCCCTCTGATGTCCACTGGAAGTCCTCTGCTTGCCGTTTCTTAGTGAAGCCTGCTTTCTTTCTGGCTCAGGGCTTCACCTTATCAGCTGGGGAAAGGGTAGGCAGTTCCCTCTCCTTGTCCCGAACATCCCTGGATGTGTTCTTCCTTGAAATGTCAGGACTTATGCCTTCCTCCTCACTCACAAATTCACCCACAGGTACTTTTTTTTGCAAAGTTTTCCCTATGTGGGGGACCACTATCATGGGTCACTTTAAGATTCTCAGGTGAGTGTCTTTTAAGTGCAATCTTAAATGGTTGGTTTGTTTTAGATGCACTGAGCGTGTTATCTGATTCTCTTTCTTCATTCATAGATAAGCTAGGTAGGGGTTTGCCTTGCAAGGTTTTAAGGCGGCCTTTTCCAGCTGTAGAGCTAATTAGCACTCCAGTGCTGCTGCAACAATTCTATAGGTTTACTCCCCTCTATAGATCTCAGTCCCACTACTTGGTCCTCAGGACAGAATGCTCTTTCCTGGGTTTCATTCAAGCCTTTCTCCTTTCCAGGAGTACCTCCCAGCTTGGCTCTGCCACTTCTAAGGACTCCTCCCTATTATTTGCAGGGACAAATATCTGTTTATGGGGTTCTCTATGCGGTGCCTTTAAACCCTCTCTATAGGTCAGGTCTTTATCAGTTAGAGACCTCTCTGGGTGTTCAGGGGTCAGTGGAATGGGACTCTCATCAGATGTTGCAATACAGTCATTTGAAGTACTATTTTCCCTCTGCCCATCAATATAGAAAGTATCATTAGGATTTTCCAATTTGACCACCTCAGCCATCTTTGCTATCTCAGGGCCTTTCAAAAGAATATGATCAGCTTCAGCAGGACTATTAAGCTGGCTATCCAAGGAACTTTCTACCTCCAAGCTTCCTTCGACTACAGTATCCATTTCTACTGCAGTGAGAGATTCCTGGCCCCCTGGTGAGTGTGTTAGTGCAAAAGCACTCTTAACATGCTCTCTTAAATCCCATCCAATGAGAAAAGCGGCCGGTATTTCATCTGAAATGGCCACTTGCCACTTTCCAGACCAATTCCTATAAGTTACTTGAACCTTTGACACTTTCAACACCCCAGTTTCCTTCCCAATTCCTTTTAGGGTCATAGTTCTGCCTGGAATTATGTTGTCCTGAGCTATCAGATCTGAATGTGCAATGGAAATTTGAGAACCTGTGTCCCTTGAGCAGTGTACTTCTTACAATCCACTACTATCTCTTCACCAGCGTTTTAAAGAAAAGTATTGTCATTTTTGATGTAAAAACAATGGACTATTTGGGCTTGAGGTATCTCCTCAAGATCAGTAGCCTTGGTTGCCATGGAGACAGAACTACCATTGTTACAGCCTCCCTCAGTGACCTCAACTGGTTTTAAACAGTACACTTTCTTGGCCTGATTATCATCCTTTCCATTTTTATTCTTATTTTTCATACAATTTGCTTGATAATGCCCAAACTCTCTGCAGTTATAACACGGTTTATAAGTCCTTCGCTCATTCTGAGGAGATCTGTTCAACTTTAACTTTTCCTCAGGGTTCATTTGGGTCTGAGAACTAGGCCGTGCTAATTTAGGTGAAGTACTACCCTGGCCTTCTTTCCCTGATGCTTTGCTGAGGTAATTTTTATTAAAGGGTTTCTTATGGTTGTCCCAGTTTTGCCTGTTAAAATTTACCTCAGAGAATCTGTAGTCTCGAAACTCCCCAATGTAATCCGCTGTTTCACCTGTAATAGATATTAAGGATTTTTGTCCTTAACTAAATAACACAATTCCCCAGGCAAAATACAGTTGTGCCCCGCTGGACGATTACCCCATCTAACGACAAATCCATTTACTGTTGAAGTTTTTGCAATCGCAAAAGCGATCGCAAAACGATGTTTAGATTGGTTTTTTTCGCTTCACGTTGATCGGTTCCCTGTTTCGGGAATCGATTTTTCGCAAACAGCTGATCGTTGGGTTTCAAAATGGCCACCGGCTTTCAAAATGGCCCCCCGCTGTTTTCTAGGACGGATTCTTTGCTATGCAGGCACCGAAAATAGCCGCCATATGGAGGATCTTCACTGGACGAGCAGGTATTCAGCCCATTGGAGCGCATTGAACTGGTTTTCAATGTGTTTCAATGGGTTTTTTTATTTTGCTTGACGATGTTTTCACTCTACAGCGATTTCGCTGGAACGAATTAACATCATCAAGCAAGGCACCACTGTAGAATAAAATTGTTCCAACTCAATCACATTTTTCATTTGCTCAAGAGAAATGACATTCTCACATTCCATTCATTTGTCCAAACATTGAAGAAGTTTAGCCCCTATCTGAGAATAAGATTCCTCAAGCTTTTTGGTCAGGGAGCAAAATTTCACCTCAGGTATTCTACATCGATACCAAATTTAGAAAATACCATTTTTCTATATGCTTCAAGATCTCTAGCCTGCATCTGAGAATACAGCTCAGCTAAATCTCCACTTATTTGGAATCTCAAAACCATCATCCTTTCATCATCCTTAACATTAAAGTCCCAGCAAGCCTGTTCAAATGATATGAGAAAAGATTCAGGGCAGTCTCCTTTTCTATATCGGGAAAATTCCGCAAAACGAACTTTTGAGGGATTTCTCTCACTAGAGTAGTTATTGTTATTACTATTACTGTTTTGAGCAGCCAATTCTAGTCTTTTCATTTCCATTTGAAATTCCATTTAACTCCAACTCCATTTGTCTGTTTTCTTGCTCAGCTTTTTCTCTGATTTCTAGTTCCCTGAGCTCTAGCTCCTTAGCTCTCTCCTCAGCTCTGGCTTTCTCTCTGAATTTTAATTGGTTTTTCAGAGCTAGCTCCTTTAGTCTAAATTCCTGTTCCAACTTCCATTTTTCAAAATCTTGGGATCTTCGAACACTTTCTCTCCCTGAGGAACCCTCATGAGTCTCCTCCTGTTCCACCACTAGAGGGTCTCCATTTCCCTCCACTTCCTCAGGTAAACTTTGTGCCTCTTGAGGATCAGGTACCTCCATTTTCAGCTAATTCTTTTGCTTGGCATAAGAATGTACAGTATACTTATTTGATAAGAGCTTGTTTCTATTGTTGAGTTAGCCAGGCCTCTTTGAAAAACACTTTTTTTAACTGTTGTTTTCTTTTCCCAGTGTTTTTCTGGAGTATTATGTAGTTCTCACTTGGCAGCTAAAGATGGCTACACTTTTTCTGGCACCACGCCAGCCATGATGCTTCTTGGTCTGAGACAACCTTCTTGCCTCCAGATACAAAACAAATTCTGTTTTCAAGCCTCTGCTTTTTATGTTCTTTTCATCTCAGATCTGTTCTAACCCTGGCTTCTGCTTTTTATCCACAAGTGCTCCCTTAATACTCAGACCCTTGGATTTTAAGCTAGCCCACTGGGTCTGATCAAATCCTGATGTAACCTCAAAAAGAATTTTCCCTTCAGATTCATTCCCTATCTTAGTTCTCCCCCTCCCACATCTGGGATCAGAAGCCCCGCCACTAAGCTTTACCACTAAAGCCCACTTCTTTATCACAGACCTCTGACCAAAAGGTACCTTTGACTCAAAGAAAATCCACTTTTAACTCTGTCTTGACTGGACTCTTTCGGATCCCGATGCTGGACACCAATTGTGACAATCACCTCCTTGAGGCGCCTACGTTTTGTGCCCTCACAAATGCTCCAGTTGTGTTTTCCTTTCACTGGCACCAGTGGATTACCTCTGCGTCTGCGTAACTCTCTGACTCTGGCTAACTCTCTCCCACCAACTCACTCTGACTGATTCTCCTCCTCTCAGGCTCCACCTTTTAACCTCTCTCTTGGCTCCATCTCTCAACCATATTAGCATAGACATGAATAATACATGACTTATACATAACAAAGGGTGAAAACTACTTGTTAGGTATAAGTCATGTATTATTCATGTCTATGCTAATATGGTTGAGAGGCAGAGACGAGAGTCAGTGAGTTAGTCAGAGGCAGAAGAGATAGAGATTGAGTTAGAGACTGGTTAAGATAAATAGAGAAGGTGGAAATTATATGGCAAGAGAATAGTATGTACATCTGAAGAATTTCTGTGATTAATAAATTGGCTTCACTTTAATAAATAAGTTTTGTTTGCATTCACAATACAAGTGTCTGATCAAACGTGATTATTTTGTGGATTGAGGAAATCCAGGGGTGGCAGTGAAAAGAAAACACGACTGGAGCCTTTTGTGAGGACACAAAACACAGGTGCCTCAAGGAGGTGATTATCACAATTGGTGACAGATTTGTCACAATTGATAACTTTTTTCCATTTGGCTTGCAATTGGCTGGGAATACCTCGCTAATAGCCCTTTTCCTATGCCAGCCCAAGAGGAAAGTAAGCTTATGGAATGTGTTCCTTGGGTATGGTCAGACCTCATGAATTTCCCGAGGATCATCAAACACTTCTATTTTGGGAGGCTTCTGTAAGTTTGGGTAGCATAGTAATAGAGTTCATCTGGCTGAAACATCAGGCAGCTGTTGGTGAGGCAGGAGGAAGCTGGAGTGCTGCTGAAATGCCATCCCCTGGCAAGTCACTTGATTGAATGGATAAACAGAATACAGTGGTGCCTCGCTTAGCGATTGCTTCGTTTAACGAAGAATTCACTTAACGATGTGTTTCTTGGAGGAATTTTCTGCATCGTTTAATGATGTTCTCTATGGGGGATTTTCACTTAACGATGTCCGTTTTCGCTCATTTTTAAGTGTCTTAAAATGTTTGAAACCGTTTTAAATGCTTGGAATTGGTAGTCCACCTTGTGAAACATGTGCAGACTTAATTTGGCTCTGTTCTGAGTCTTCGTTAATTTTTGGTGATTTTTTGTTTTTCCCCTTTAAATGCATTGAACGGAACCATAGCGATGGTTTTTGGAACCAATTAACATCGTTAAGCGAGGCACCACTGTATATGGGCAAAGTGTTTTATCCAGCTGATAGGATGACTGGCTGTAGTCCAAGCTTTGACAGTTCTTCTACCTATACAGGCATGAATCCCAAGGGCCCAGAACTGCATCCCACTACATATATGTTCAGTTGGCAGATTTTATAAACGGTTCGCAGATTTTTATTTATTTATTTATTTTTATTTATTTACAATATTTTTTAGCCGCACCATTGCGGCATTGTGTATTTACAATATTTATATTTTTTCTCACAAGTTAAGCTTTAATGTTTTTAAATTCCATAAACATGCTAAATAGTACATTTTGTGCCTGCTCATGTAGTTCTAAGTGAAATATTTTATGTTGCTAAAACAGCAAAATAAGTTCAACTTTGATACAATATAGCTATAACATTTCACGTTTTCCCCAAGTGTCCATGTTTTTTGGGGTGTATGTGTGGGAAGAGTGAAGAAGGAACTTTTCCTATGCCTATAACATTTCTAGAAATCTCCAAACTTTCCTCCTTTACTGTGAGTTGTGGCTGTGTTATCTCTGAGGGCTGATCTTGTTGGACTGCGGCTTCCTTCATTCCTAGCCAGCACAGCCAGTGGGGATAGATTATGGGAGTTAGATGCCCAGCATGATCTGACGTCCTCTGTGACTCCATTCCTAAGCTAGTGCTCTCTTTCCCTTGTGCTGTGTTGGTTTCTGTTCAGGATGGGTGGAGTGTTGTGTCTCAGCCTGAGCGAAGTCCATGCTGTTTTTCCCCTTTTCTGTTCAGGGACGTGAAACCTCTGGAGAACCGCCTTCGGCCAAAGGGCTTGGGTCTTGGAGCAGACCGTTCGGCAGCCCAGGAGTTACAGCCCTCGGGACCCCGCCGCCCTCCAAAACCTGGTGAGGAGCCCCCAAAGGGCAAGGATGAACCTTTGGGCTTGGTTGCAGGGGGCGCTGTCTTCATTGAGATCGGTCCTCACAAGGAGCTGTATGGAAAAGTGAGTTACTCTTTTATTGTAATGGGTCTTGTTTCACTTTTTGCTCAGGCCAGTAGAAGAACCCTAATACTTGGGGTTCTGGATGTGAATGTGGTGGGAAGGAGTTTTTCTCATGGACATGTGAGTAATAACTAAGGAAGGCATAACCTAACGTTAGTCAGGATCCTATCCTGGATCTCCACATTCAGTATATGCACATTTTGACTGAATCAGAAGGAAAAGAAGGAATCCAGTATTTCTGTTTGCATGATAGATCGGATGATCTTACTAATGGACAGTTTGGAGACTGGTAGATCTGATTTTGCAAGATTTTGTGACTTCCCTAGGCAGAGGCAGGGTTCACAAGCCTGATACAGTCTCTGGTTCATCATTCCCACTCTGGAAGCTTCTTGGTGCTTTTTTATTGGAAGTGGCCTGTGACATTAAGCCACACCATATGTTATTATTCATATTGGCATGTATTTTTTGCTACTCTGAAAGGAGATCACAATTTGTAAATTCTTCATATGAGGTTCACCCAATGTATTCTGGGAACTGTAGTTTTTGAGTTCATAAACTATTCTGAAAACCTCAATGCATCCTATTTTTCTTGGAAGTAAGGCAATATGTGATAGTTGAACCATTTTTCTATAGTAGAGGAAGATGTCCTGAACAATGGAAGTGATGACCCACTGCTGAGGATGTCCTTTTTTCAAGGATTTCTTATGGGAAATGCTATTTTTTTTGTATTGGAGAATGATGCCCTGAAGAGTAGTTTGTTCATCCCATTATTCAGAATATCCTTCTTTTCCTACTACAGAAAATTGATTGATCATGTCAAGCAGCAGTGTCTCTGGTTTGTAGTAGAGTCGTTGCTTTATTTGCCATTGTTACAGGTTGTCTTTTAAGCAGCTACAGGAACTCTGTCCCTTGCCATTTTTTGACTTTCATCTTGCTTCCTTGCAGTCACTGAGCATTGGCCCCTTGTCTTCCTCAGATTGAAGGCGTAGATGGAGATAATGCTCGTATCATGGTGAAATTGGCCATTGGTGGGAAAACAGTGACTGTAAGTCAGCATGGCGTTCGACCTGTGACACAGAAGGAATATGATAAGCTTGCCAAAGATCTTAGTAAGTGACGGCTTTTTTTCCCCGTGAAATCACAAAAATCCAAGAAGTATTGTTATCTCCCATTTTCGTTTTTGGTAATTGTTGGATAAAGGAAATCAAAAAGTGAAGTGTTATGCTAATATATTGCCCCATTTTGATTAAACCAGCCTCTGGGTAGTTAGCAATTTGATTATGCAGGCTACATCCCCCCTCCCCCCGAGCTGGGTACTCAGTTTACCAGCCCAAGAAGGATGGAAGGATGGGTCAACCTGGAGCTGTCTACCTGAGTCCAGGACGGAACTCGGGTCGTAAGCAGAGTCTTTACTGCAGTATTGCAGTTTAGCCACTGCGGCAAGAGGACAGTGGTACAGATTTCTGCCATTAGTCTTCAAGTCAGATAAACAAGAATCTATCCATCGTGCTTTTGTGGATCGGTTTGAAAATTGTAGAAAGCCTTTGATTGCACCCTAGGCCAAGAGTCATCCTGTCTTTCTTGGCTTCTGTATTCACAGGCCGCCTCAGCAAGGCCCACAAAGAGAAAGAAGCAGTGCAGCGGAACGGGAGCAAGCTTGACTCAGATAACAGACTATCAGAAGACAAAAAGGGGGACAGAGACAAGAAGAGGAAACATCCAGCAGGCACAGACCGGTAATATGCTTGTGAAACGGGTGGCGTTAGCCAAGCGTGCTGCTGACCGTTCTGTTTTGGCAACACTGCTAATAGCCCCCTTGCTAGTGGCTACATCCAGGCTAGATCTGCCATAAAGCCTATGTACCTGCTGGGCGGGGATTTCCACCAGAACTGCTGTCTGTGTAACTTTGCTGCAAGGAGCTGGCAGATTAGGTAAAGCAGTCAAGGTGGCAGTCTGGTTTCACAGCACACACTGTTTGTTTTAGGGTGCTTGGAAGTGACAGTAGTTGCTTAGCATATGCTTAGTGGCTGCTATGGTGCTATTAAAGAATCTGGAAAGAAATGCCCCAAAGTTCACTGTCCAATACCTTTTTAAGCAGTTCCCCCCTCCCGTTCCCCCCTCCCTGATGTGTGCTCCAGGCTTTGTAAAAATCTCTGGATAGATAGTGTGCCATCTGAGTAATAGCTTCTGCTAAATCATACTCCATATTTAACACTTGGATCGTCCAGGGATGGGTCTCATGTATCTATGACACATAATTTGTTGGTCCTACACCATACGTGTTGCTGAAGAATCTGTGGCCACCCCCCTAAATTACAGTGGCATTCTCCCTTTCCCTGCTGCTTCCAAAAGGGCAATAGATGCTCCACTCTGTGACCTCCCAAGGCTTTTTATGATGCAGGTAGACACTCCAGGATTCCTTTGTGGCGCAGAGGGATGCTGCTTTTTCCATTGCATTTTGGTGGTGGCTGTAGATTTAGTTAGTAGTGGTGCAACTCACTATACATTTCAGGGAAAGGTCCAGGGTAGGCCCTTATTTCAGGATGCTGCTTGTTCTTCGTTTCATGCTTTCAAGTTGGCACTGTTTCACATGGATAATTCAACTGTAACCCTAAAAATAACGTGTAAGGTAAATTGGTTATTGTTGCTCTTACTACATTGTGGTTAACAGGTGAAGTTGCCTAATGCTACCCAATGCCAAGATCTCAGTATGGCTAAGCTTGGAACAAGGAGCTTCTTGATCTGTAGCTCAGTTTCTTACCTAGTTTGCTACACTAGCATCTGATGAACTCTTTAAGCCAGCAGAAATGGAAAAGTGATGTTCCTATGAGTTTTCTCCCATGTTTTGACATTTCCTCTATATCTGGACCAGAAGCTTCGAAAATCTTGCTGAGTTTTTAATTTCAGCGTAACTGGGTTATCATTTAGAGCAGTGATTCCCAACCTTCGGTCCCAGATGTTCTTGGACTACTTCTCCCAGAAATCCAGGCCAGCACAGCTTCAGGAGTTTTAGTCCAAGAATATCTGGGGACCCAAGGTTAGGAACCACTGCTTTAAAGGAAAGTTCATCTCTCGTGTCACCCACCCACTCGCTGTTATGTGCTATCAAATCTGTTCTGACTTATGGTGACCCTAGGAATGAGTGACCTCCAAAATATCCCATCATTACTGAACCTTTACCTCTTGGTTTGTTCTGCTACAGAGATGAAAGTGCTGGAAAGCAGAGCAAGTGTGAGGGCAGCAGCCATTCCTCTTCTAGAACTCCTCACTGGCTGCGGCGGGACTTGCGGGTTCGCTTTGTGGATAAGCTCTACAAGGGGGGCAAATATTACAATACTAAGGTACTTAGAGCTGTTATTTTTTTTCACCATCTGTTAATCTGCACTGTGATTCACAGTCATTTATGTTCAAGACTTAATTTTAAAAAAGGAGAATCTCCCAACTAGCAGGGCCAATCAGAACTATAGTTCAAAAAAGTAACTTTTCTCAGTCCCTGTTTTAATTCTCTAGCATTATCATTGCACTTTACACAAGAAGCAACAGACCAATCTAAACCAGCTTTGTCTAGACTACTCTGCCACCATCTGATGCCCTTCTAATGTTTTTCAGCTACAGCTCTCTTCAGCTAGCTTGACCCCCCTGGTCAGGGATGATGGGAGGTAGTCTAGGCAATGTATTTGTGGGCTTGGTGGAAAGGGAGAGATAAGCAAGACTAATGCAACATGAAGAATATTGCATTGTCTATTTGGCTTGCATATACAGTCACACACCATGCAGTATTTCTGTTTCTGCTATCTGCAGAGGGGGCAAGGTACTCTAAAGAGCACAGAAGATCTGTATAGGCCTAATATCAGTTTACTTCAGTCTCATTCTTGTATGTCAGCAGATATATGGGTGGTTGCTTGGGGCAGTCATCCTAGCCTCATTTGATTTTCCTCCACGTAGACCTGTTGCATCCCAAATTAAGTACCTGTGTTGCTGCTGCCGTGTATTAATTGGACCTTGTTTGCTAGTGCCTAAAGTTTACTGTCATGAGGTAGTGGAGGCTCTTCTCAAGGCCGTGCCTCTGGCATATTTCAACTGAGGACTTAGTGGTTTGGAAGCAATCCACTTCTAAAGTATCTTGTCCAAATTTCTCCTCCACCTCAGAAGGAAGGAAGCTCTTTGAGAAAGCAAAACCTAAATGCTGTCAAGCAAAGTGGCTCTCCGAGTTAAAAACTGAGGTGGTCTGTCCTGGGACAGGTCTGTGCAGTTTCAGACTGTGAATTATTGTTTCTCTGTTGAGAGACAATTTAATGACTTCACATCCAGCTCATTAAAATTTCCAGTATATCCAGGTTGAACTGTACCCTCTGCATGGAGGCAAAATGACATGAAACCATGTATTGCCCTTCGTCCCTAGATGGTGATTGAAGATGTGCTGAAGCCAGACTCGTGTGTGTGCCGAACAGAAGAGGGTCGGATTCTAGATGGTGAGTGTGCTGCTGCTTCATACTGGCCTTCCTTTAGTTTTGAGACAATCTCTGCATAATTAGCGTAGAACTGAGTAAGCACTCCAGATTTTCCCACCTAGGAGTGTTCATTCCTTCTAGAGCCTCTGAGAAGTCATTTTACCACATCCTCCCAAAAACTGTTTTAGGAGCCTTTCTCCGATACCCAAAAAAGTAAAAGCCCTGTTGTGGTCCTAGATCTATTCAGGAAGAACCCAAAATGTGACCAAAGGAGCCCATGTGTATGGGCAAAGGGTTGAGGGCATTCTCCAAGGGCTGGAGGTTTTTCCACCTCAGGAGAAATTTCTCCTCATTTTCAAGTACAGGAGAGTTAAAGGTGCAAACGTCTGCTTAGTGAACCTTCTAAAGGAGGGTAAGGAGATTCCCACAATGTCCATGCCTTCAGCTTCAGTTAAGGTTATGTGGGGAGGATGTCCAAAGGAGATTACCCAGTGTGGCTTCCATCAAGAAAGGGGAATTTAGGGAGTAGCAAAGGGTTCAGGTTGAGCTGCATCTCATTGTAGTCACTTATTATTATCTCTTCCATAGGGATCCATGAATCCATGTTGGAGACAATTATTCCTCGAAGCGATTCGAACCAGGTCATGGTGGTACTGGGGGAGCATTCTGGCCAGGTGAGTTAGAGCTCATTATGGCTTGATATCTGGCTCCTTAATGTGAGAGGAGAGTGAACCTAATGTTCAATTTGCATGAGAGTCATGGCATGTGTTTGATAGCAGAACACTTGTTCAAAGTACCTTGGAGAGGTAATGGTGCAGCCAGTTCGATGTGCCAAATTGTGGGGAGGAACTTGAGGTTTTCAAGCATTTGTCGTCGAATGTGACTGCATTACACTAAAAATTCAAATGTGGCTCTTGGTACAAATAGATGCAAATCAAATGTGTGAGGTAGCAGGGGATGACTGGATTGGCAGAGAGCAAGTCAAAAGAAAATATGCAGTTTTCAAAGATAGAAACTATAACATGGGCATACAGACAAGGACTGCAGGACATAATTCCTTTTGACATCCCTGCATAAGCGATATGTAGATTACATTAATGTTTCAGCATGACATATGTAGTTTTCCACCTGTTCTCCTTTAGCCCAGAAGATATTGCAACAAAGTAGGCCTGGAGCCAGAGCAAGAGACTCTTTGCTTCTCCAGATGTTGCTGGATTCCAGTTCCCATCAACCCCTAGCTAACATTAATGGATTGTGGGAGTAGTAGTACAGTGGTGCCTCGCTTAACGATGTTAATTGGTTCCATTAAAAAACCGTTATGTGAAAACATCGTTAAGTGAAACACCATTTCCCATAGGAATGCATTGAAAACCAGTTAATCCATTCCAATTGGAACAGATTAATGCTTGCAATCATTAGCCCACCTCCTGAAACCTATGCAAAGTTAATTTGGTGTTGTTCTGAGTCTTCGTTAATTTTTGGTGATTTTTTGTTTTCTCTCTCATTGAAATGCATTGGACGGACAGTTCAATAGAGTTCAATGAGGGAAAAACAAAAAATCACCAAAAATTAACAACGACTCAGAACAACACCAAATTAAGTTTGCATAGGTTTCAGGAGGTGGGCTAACGATTGCAAGCATTTAAAACAGGCTTCAAGCAGTTTAAGATACTTTTACAGGAGTGAAAAGGGAGATCGGAAAGGGCTCTTTGATCTCCGTTTCCCTTTTAAAGCTCTTTCCGATCTCCCTTTTTGCTCCTGTAAAAGTGTCTTAAACTGTCTGAAGCCTGTTTTAAATGCTTGCAATCGTTAGCCCACCTCCTGAAACCTATGCAAACTTAATTTGGTGTTGTTCTGAGTCTTCGTTAATTTTTGGTGATTTTTTGTTTTCTCATTGAAATGCATTGGACGGACAGTTCAATAGAGTTCAATGAGGGAAAAACAAAAAATCACCAAAAATTAACAACGACTCAGAACAACACCAAATTAAGTTTGCATAGGGTTCAGGAGGTGGGCTAATGATTGCAA